GGTCCTTTTGGTCTACTTTCGTTGACTCAGATCATGCTCTGTTCTGCGCGAAAATCTGTATGTGTTTTGGAGGATCCAGAAAAACGAAGCACTGCTAGGTTGATGTAAACAGATTAACTGATTCCTCTGTCCAGGAGAGCTATCAGTCTTCAGTGGCATATGCACTCAGTTGCAATCCACCGCAAGAAGTGGAACAACACTGGACTTGTATACGGAAAGCGCTGACCATTTCCGGACAGTCATGCTGCGGTCTAACTCGACGCCCATTGAAGTCTTGGATATCTGCTCGTTCTCTGGAGCTGTTCGAACGCCGCAAAGATATCCCCGCAGAACCAGATTGCAACGAGCGGCGCCGTTCTACCAACCGGCTGCTTAAGCAAAGCCTACGCAAGGATCGCGAGACATGGTGGTCTGAGCGTGCTTTAGAGATGGAGACTGCTGCCCTCACTGGTAACACTCACAGGCTTTTCCAACTCATTCGGTCCACTGGCCTCAGGAAGCTTGGTGTCAGTGAGGTCATTTGTGAGGTGGATGAGTCTCCGATCACCAACCAACAGAGGCGTATGGACCGCTGGGCCGAGCACTTTCACTCGCAGTTCAACTGGCCTCCACCATCCATCAGTACATGCAGTACACCTTGCTGTCCACCCTGGCTCGTCCCATTGAATCCACCCAGCGAAGCAGAAGTCTGCCTCGAGATTCGACGCTTGAAGCGCTTCAAGGCTGCCGGCTTAGACGGACTTCCTCCGGAGCTATTCAAGTATGGCGGTGTGGCAGTCATTAACCAGCTAACCGCGCTGTTCGCAAAAATTTGGCATGAAGAGAAAGTGCCTTCCTCTTGGGGCGAATCAGTTATTGTCCCAATTTTCAAGAAAGGTGCTCGCACTTCATGTGCAAATCATCGCGGGATTAGTCTTATTTCGGTTGCCTCTAAGCTATTGGCATCCATTCTGCTTCGCAGGCTATCCCCAGTACGTGAATCATACTACCGTGAAGAACAAGCTGGTTTCCGTCCTGGCCGCGGATGCGTGGATCAAATCTTCACGCTCCGCCAACTCCTTGAACATCGCCACATTTATCACAGGCCCACTATCGTTGCATTCTTAGACATACGTGCCGCTTTTGACTCCGTTGATCGACCTGCTTTATGGCGTTGCTTACTAAAGAACGGGGTGCCAGAGAAATATACCGCCATCTTACGAGCACTTTACCTTCATACATGCGGCAGAGTGAGGGTCTATGGCAAGCTTTCCTCGCAATTCGCTGTCAATAGCGGTGTGCGACAGGGCTGCCCTATGTCCTCATTCCTCTTCAACTTCGCAATCGAAGACGTTCTGTCGAATGCCCTAGAAGGTTTCCAACATTTTGGCCTAGAGCTTCTACCGGGTGAACGCGCGACCGACTTAGATTATGCCGATGATATCGCCTTACTTGGTGACGATCCTCAGGGTATGCAACTCATTCTGGATCGTTTGGCGGTTGAAGCATCTAAGTATGGCATGAGCTTCGCCCCATCGAAGTGTAAAGTACTGCTCAAGGATTGGCTTTCACCTGCTCCCGTGCTCACTTTCCAAGGTGCACAACTTGAACAGGTAGATAGTTTCGTCTACCTTCGGAGCTGTGTTTCCGCTGACGGTACTATCAACAGAGAAGTTTCGCTTCGTATCGCTAAAGCTCGATCGGCATTTGTCAATCTGAGGCACTTGTGGTGTCGTCGCGACGTCTCATTCTCACTAAAGGGCCGAGTTTACAGCGCATCAGTTCGCTCAGTATTGTTGTATGGGAGCGAGTCCTGGTCGATTCGCGTGGAAGACATGCGTCGTCATTCTGCGTTCGATAACGGTTGTTTAAGGAGGATCGCTCGTGTTCGGTGGCAACATCGAGTCAATAGTAATGACGTTCGACGTCGCACCTTGGGGAATGCAAGTATTTCCTTCAACAAACTGGTTTTGTTGCGCCAGTTAAGATGGCTCGGTCATGTCCTACGCATGGCATCTGAGCGTCTACCGCGTCGCGCTCTATTCGCTCGTCAAGGACCTGGCTGGAAGCGACCGCGTGGTGGTCAGCCTTCCACTTGGCGGCAGCACATGAAATCGCTGACGTCGTGTCTAGCCGCTGTTGGACCCGTACGTCTTCCAGGATGGGGACCCAAAGATGAGGAGTGCCAATGGCTTAGGACTCTTGAAGACATAGCCCGCAACCGGAATCAGTGGAAGAATTGTGTACAGTGTTGTATTGATTCACATGTTTAATACTACCAACATTGAAAATGACAAAAAAAGCGAAAAATCGGCGTGTGACAAACAAACTAAAAATGTTTTGTTCTGTATTTTCGTCAAAATATTCCATTTTCGTGCGGCATATTAGCTGAAGTGTGTTGCCCACCTTCAACTAGCATGCCACGTGATTATAACGCAATGACTCCTATCCACTGATTTCCATGGTTTTTATTGGCTCTATGTCTAGTTACTAGACCGCTGAGATTACATACATACATTACCTCGTCTTAGTGTACCGCTCGTACTGTGGATACTAACGTTCTCACCTGTGTCCACGTAACGCGGCGCTTATCAAATGCGAGGAACGGCATTTAAAGCTTTGCGCTAGTGAACGTTCACGTGTGTAGGGATCCAGCCCTCTTCACCACCTGGTCCCTGCTTCAGCACCGTCGTGCGTCACGGGCGTGTGCGTTGCAGTCTGCCATGGCTGATCCCCAACGATCAACGAGCGGGCATAATGCGCGCGTTTCTAATCTCACATGGACGGGAGGATGGCTGAGAATCATGTACAACGTGGTCAATCGGCGCCAGGTCCACGTGTGTTTAGCTACACTTGTGGCTTCAGTGTAACCGTTCATTGCTGAGTTTGGGTGTCGAACGTGGTTAGTAGCCCCAAAGCGCGTTCTGCGTGCACCCAACGCTGTCCCAGTGGGTCTGGGTTCAAAGCCATGCTGGCACTCCACTAGCTGATTTGGTATTGGCAATCAACTCACAGCATGCAATTTGTTGCGTCCGCGCCGGTTAGATTCATCCTGTGTGATAGAAGAACTACTTGGACTTTTCTGATGGAGGAACATGATTTTTCTTAGGGAGGAATTTGACAGTACTATGCTCGCGATTGGCTAAAAAAATGTGTAGAAGCCGTTAAGTAATTCCACTACCTAGTAGCTGCATCAGCGGCCGTAGGGTCGAAGGTGGGACCATGAACGGTTTAGCAAATTTCTCGAATGTCCTCGTTTGGAGAAACAACATCGAAACACTATTTCGGATAAGGTCCTTGTAATTGGAATGACTGTGGTCTACCTCAACGTGAACCGAGGTCTCAAGCGTGATATTGTGTCGCAATCCAACCACACAGCCAGTACTCCAAATAAAACATTAAATGGTCCAGGTATTTTGCACAACTTCGCCACTCATAGCGTCGGCGCGAAATCACTTTAACTCCGAAGAGTAGAGTTTACAGTGCAGCCTTCCGTTCAGCCTTACTATACGAGTGCGAAACCCAGGCATTCAGATCGATGGACATAAAGAGACTTGCTATATGTTTTCACAGCTTAAATCACATTTGGAGGGGAACACCGCGTGAGTGATGCGCGTGTCTGGCGTCTTGTGTATGGCGCACGAAGAGCGAGAGAACTGTTCAGCATCCTTTTTTCACGCACCAATCTCCGATTGCTGGCTCGTTTGTTAACTGTGCCAACATACGCACTCCCATATCCACCGGGGTGTGGATGGAAGAACGGAGAGTGGGCCAACCGGTGACGTTGTCAAGAGGAACGAAGTCCTTCACATCTAAGTTGGCCTGTTTGGGGTCCTAAAACAGTGAACGCGTTTGGTTGGATGCACTTGTTGACTGGCGAAGAACGGACCACAATGGCGTCTGTGTTGTGAGCGTATTTACCCCTCCTTCACTTAACCTCTCCTCCAACTCCGAACATGCTGGTAATGCATAGCATATTACAAATCACAATAATTTTTTGACTAGGTTCTCGTTTTCTCTTTTTATTACTGCATAATTGAATGGTATTGTGGTGCAATAGCCAAGACGTGTGGTTTGAAAGTACCCACATTTCCGTTCATTCCAGGGTTGTGAACTTTTCACCTGTCTATTTGTACTCTTTTTCTCTTCCATTCACTCCCTGTGTAGTATTATTTTCGGAAAATAATGTAGGAAGTTAAATACTTCGAACAGAATTCAACACAACAAGTCAAGCATGCAATCACAACACATCCAAATGCAGGTTGGACGATCGGTTTACCCTTTCTGGACTGCTCAGTAGTGCATATCCCCTACCCTGGTGATGAGCTGGAAATCGGATCCCCCTTTTTGATGCCTTCGATTTTTGGGCTTCCGGCAGCGCAGGTCAGCCACTGGATCCACCACAAAACAGCGGCCAGAACTTTTTCAATCTCCACTTTGTCACTGCGCAAGATGGGGCGCACTACAATAGACAAATCCGCTTGGGACATTCTCCACCATTAAGGCATGAGAGCTGTTGATTTGGACACGATACAGTGACCTGGCGAGGTAAAACTTGGCTGACGATGCTGGTTGCCCATTCTGAACAAGCAATATTCCTGAATTCTTGTTAAGAGATCGTGCCGTCTTTAGCGTAATTAACCTACAAGAAGAGCAAGAACGATTAACCGGATCAAGTTGACGACCTACAAAAGATACCCGGATAAATGTTTTTATTTCAACAGTTTAATTTTTTGACCATGTACAGTAGGTGAATCAAGACCAAGAAGTCAAGCCTAATACTGAAAGTGCAGCAGATCGCCTTTCTGAGCTCTTTGTATTGTTATAATGGAATGTGGGAATTACAGCTTAAAATTGACACCATAACACAGCTAGAGAGATCCATTTCTTGATAGCGAAATCATTGTGCCTTAAGAATGAAATGCGACTTCACCGTACCAGAGCGGTAACGGAATGTCGTTCAGACCAAGTTAATCAGACCAGCGCACGAAAAGTTATCTGAGTAGAGGATGGTGATGAAATTAGCCAGCTTGACGAAAGGTTACTGGCTTTCCCACAGCAGATGCATACTTTCCCTGAGACCTATCGCAGATGAGCACGGACTGGGATTTGTTGTTTTTCAAAACGAGATTCACTCGTGTACTGAAAAAGAAAGGAAAGGAAGTTCTCTCAAACAATGAATAACCACTGGTTATTATAAATTGCGTAAGATGAAGCCCACCAGAGCGTGCATAAAACAGAGCCACACCGGTTCACCACAGTAAGCAAAGCGCGAAATACATTGTTTCTAATAAGTAATCATATTGAAAAAGCACATGAAGATCCGCACCGGCCATAATCTCCCACTGTGGCAATGACATTATTGTGTCCAGACACTCAACGTACTTCGCCTGTATACTTGGGTCATGTATTCGTGCATTCTTCTGCCTGTAGGGAATCCGTTCCAGCTATGCCCTTGTTGTTGTACTGGTTGTTGTTGTTGTTATGTCACTGCAACAGCTTTGGTAGAAAATATGACGGTAAAATACGCCTTGATGCGCTGTTGTTTATTCTGTCACCGTTAGCTCTACTTGGGTTTTCATCGTTATGACTACTGGTGGTGACAAGGAGGAGGACTCTCCAAGCTTGGCAAGCTGGCCATTTAAGTATTTGCAAAGCGGGACAACACTACAAGATCGAGCAACGTTCTTCCCACCCAACCCATGTATTCATCTGGTGATTAACCTTCCTTTGCTCCGTTTGTATTCCGTCGGTTCGTGTCAGCTATGCGTAGGTAACCAATTGGTCAGTCTGTCAGTTGATATGGACTGGATTAACATGTCTGTAATGTCGAAATTTCCCGACTCACTTTCGGTTGTTTCTTAATACGTCAGACAGAGCTACAAGGGATCATCTTGGAGTGCACAGTATCTTCCATAGCTTTATTCCCCAGTTTAATTTGAAACACTATCACTCCGTGCCGGTTGTTCTGTTGCTGGGTGGTGCATCGAGCTGGGGCACTTTGTTTGCAAACATTTCGGCACCAATCTAGGTGACATCGTTAGTGCGTTACTGTATAGCAGACAATCGAACGAAGCTTCCTCAATCAGGGACCATACGTTTATAACGAAATCACCCACCTGGGTGAACTGCCCAGCTCTATTGCTAAGCAGTATGAGACCGTTGTCCTAAAAGTTGCAATCATTATTTAAGGTACCACTGCTAAGCAACTTTACCTTTTAAGACATGTTTGTAAGTGAGAAAACGTTTCGTTTCCAACGAAGTGGGATTATAAGTAATAACAACCGGACGAGTGAATGCTGCATGATTGCGGAGGGTATTTATTCTGGCTAGGAATCATGTAGGCACTTTGGTCATTTCGGAACATCCGTATGTCGAAGTACCCTGATCTAGCGCTTATGACTAGGTTACCGATACAACAGTCTCGTTTCCGTCTTAAAATTTGCAGCGATCGGACTTCACTATGATTAGACAGGTTGCGGGACCAATAGCCGCAGAACCCTAGACCGCCGTATTGGCTTCTCGGAACCTAGCACAACACTAACCCGATGTGAAACTGAAACGGTTAAGTTAGTATAATAAGAAATAGGCTAACACTTAGACGCTAACCGACTTGTATGACGGACACCTGAATGGGTCTAATTATGTTACAGAAGCATTGGCATCCACACAGTTGTATCGCATATACATTAATTCATCTATAATCATTAAGGGATTCAGCCCGAACAAGCGGCTTCACTTAGTAGGTGTGTGGAATCTCACACTTGGCCCGCAAACTACTCGATTATGTTAACCGTCAGTGTAATTCGCACCCCAACCATATACTCGCTGGTTCATTGCCTCAAAGAATGGGCCAGGTAGATCATGGGCCGTGTGACAAACAGGAAAGGAAGCGGCAACAAATTTGCTGTGTTGTAGCAGATTAGTGGACTTTAATTCCATCCTGAATTTCACCGCAGACTCCATGCGGAAGGAGTACTTACTCAAACTTGGGTATTGTGGAGGGAAGGGCAGCAAATGATGCACTGGCACACGTTCCGCATGCGGCTAACAAATTAGGAGGGGTTAGCGCAAAACGCGGGGGGACAGCGAATGATTTTATTATTAGGGAGGAAGCAGATGAACAGGCGGATAGGCATAAAAATACGCTGGTCAAAATCTGTACTCTCAAGGATGTGACCACTAGCACCTTGCTGCTGACACTGTCTGCGGTCTGTCAAGCAGTGCAACCCGATCGGGGGTCGAATTAAGGAAATGAGGAACAAATAAACAACGAGCAAATAATTACGGACGTCCTGCATCATTATAAATGCTCATGTAAGCATGAGATAAACCATATTAAAATGTCCAATGGCGCGTGCTTATAGTGAAAGGGATCGAATATTGAATATCGCATACTTCTCGGCAAACCGAGATGCAGTCCTCTTGACGAGATTTGGTCAGTGTTGTCGCAAACCACCATGTCTGTGCCGTTGATAGGTTCGGCTTTGTAACGCCTTTGAACATCCGAATTTACTGCTAACGGTTGTCGCTATCGCTCTGTTTCTACACATTTCAGGTTGTTACTTAGTCGCACCATCCATTGGAGGATGTTTCAGTGACTGCATGGTAAGCCCTACGTTTCTTTCGAGTGTATTAATCAATAGATGCGTTTGGCAAGCCACCATCTCATAGTTACATGAAGGTGTATAAATTGTCGGCTGCAAATATGTATGTAGCAAAGGCGGTTGTTGTTTCTAGGTGGACCATACGTAGCTGATACACAGATCAAAGTCACCACGAATTCTTGTTTATTGTGTCACAAAGAAAATACATACCGATGAGGATACCCGTTAGCTATGCCTTCTGTGTCATCCAGCTAATTTATGGCCTACACAAACAATCCACAACATTCAACTGGATGAACTGTTGGAACGGTTTCACTTTTGGCCACTTGCTCCTGCGTGACTTCCCACTCACCTGGACCCTACATACCCCCAGCTTAAATGCATCAAATGGACAAAGTGAGCGACCATATTTTACCTATCTCACGCTTTATATCAACGACCATTGTACCCCGTGTATTTCTGTATGCTTACACACGATTATATTAAATTTCATATTGACGTTATTTATCAACGCATTCATCTCGGTAGACTCTCGGTAGATGACCCACATATATTTTGATTTCATCGTGTTCATCCCACCCATCCTACAGGACGCGTCAAGCGTTTGCTTTTATCCTATGATAAATCAATCTGCTGCTCTACCACTGAGCTACCGAGGGCTGACAATTAGGTGCACAAATTTTAATACATGACTTCTGCTTGGTGCGCGACGTATTGCCAATGAGCTCACAGTACCTGTCCTGGTGTTGCAGATTGGCTCACTCGCCCGTCACTTCCCAATGGGCTGAAGTACCTGTCCTTCGAATGTCCAATGGGCGATGGTAGATTAATTTTGGATTTATATTACTCACACATCCAAAATTAATCTACCATCGTCCATTGGACATCCGAAGGAGAGGTACTTCGGTCCATTGGGCAGTGACGGGCGAGTGAGCCAATCTGCAACACCAGGACAGGTACTGTGAGCTCATTGGCAATACGTCGCGCACCAAGCAGAAGTCATGTATTAAAATTTGTGCACCTAATCGTCAGCCCTCGGTAGCTAAGTGGTAGAGCAGCGGACCGGAAATTCGTGGACCGGGGTCCGATTCCCCGTCGAGGCACATTATTGTTCGTGAATTTTAATCGTGACTTCTACTTTCTACAAACTTTAAACTACTCACATACATCCAAAAATAAATCAATCTGCACTGTTCATTGTGCCAGTATTGTGGCGCCTAGCCCTACCATCGGAACTGCGAATTTGACCAGCGCCGAATCCAGCTCAGTGAACTGGTGGAGCACCGAATCGAGGGTTGAAGTCGTACGCTAAACAAAGGGGTTAAACCTGGTTTACTATCCGCTCCCAGTAGAAAAATTGATTTCGTACCAGATATAAACACAACGACAAATCGGTCGGCAGCTCCATGAGTTCGTTAGCCACTCTCCAAGTCAGTGCCACTAACTGCAGGAAGTACAATGTCATGGTCAATGGTCAAGTGATTAGATTGCAATTGGACACAGCGTCGGTTATCATGATAATCTTGGAGACATTCTGTCTATCCCTCGGCAAATCACCTTGCCAGACGACCTATACAACCAACACCAGTGCGTGCGGAGGTCGTGTTTAGCTAATCGGGAAGCTGTATTGTCCTATCTGCTCCCGAGTTACCACAGGCGGTGACACCTCCTACCTCGTTAGGTTGAAGCTCAACATGCTTGTTCACAATTAGTTAAAACACTTAAGCTTAAGCGATCTATTCTTTCGGCTCATCTGCAGCACGGTACAATCTCCGACAGTGCCGACTGACCAACCCGAAGACAGCATCTACAGTATTATTGGTGGAGGACGTTTCGTCCGTTTCGACCAGTTGAAATAACTGGGAATCCAGACACACGCAGTTCACCTAAACATGGTAAGATCAACGGCGGAGCTCAATAATCATTTTAAAAATGGAGCATCGATTTCTAGACGCTTAAGAATGCTGTCATCATACACTCGAATAAGTCTGCAGCAGGGACAAGTATAGGCCATTGGTAAGTGGTGACCATCTGAATTAAAACGTTAGGGCTAAAAAAGGCGAAGTAGTATTTCCAGGAGACTCAGGTTTCAGAACTGTTTGACATATCCTAGAGGACGACACTTGAACTGATGTAACTGCAACGCGTTATGGAACGAATGCACCGGACATTCCTGTCAATAAATTATGGAGAACGGTGAAAAGGAATATGGCGTTCTTCCAACATTTTAGAAGAACTGTGCCACGTGCGTGTAAGTGACTCACTTGGGAAAGCTGATTATTTGTCCTCCGCATTTCCGCACAACGGAGGCGCGATGGGAGTGCCGAATTTCGATTCTGGATGGCAGCAACCGATATGGTTCGCCGTCGAGTTGAACAGGAACATTTTTGCTTGTGGTTAATGTTGCTGTGCGACACTGACAAATGCGATCTCCATGACCACCAACTTGGATTAATGCCTTCAGAAAGTTGATATACACAAATCAGAAAGGTTCGATTTACACTTTACATATCTTAAGTCATGTCATACCTTGCGGAGAACTGTTTGTGGCTGTGCGCATTTTAGTTAGACTTGTAAAGACTAAGTGGTGTGGTGAACTTGAAAACATGCATTAGGATTTCACAACACTGGATTTATTGTTTTTGCACCTTTGACTGTCCACTTTCTAAAATGATCATACCTCCACTTTCACTTTGCTCTAGAGCGTCACGCTCGAATTCTTTCCTCGCCCGTACTTATTCGCTCTTCATTTCCTGTAGCGTGCCCAATGTATTTTATGCCCAGTCGCCTCTATCTTCTCTACTGTCCCGTACTTGGTACGTCTCTTACGTATCATCGCTGCCAACTAGCATCCTAGGCGCCATCCAACAGTCCCCTCTAGTAACCATTTCATCGAGGAGAAAAGGAATGATACATTCGATTTCCATTACTCTCGTCAGTCGCGACGCGAGGAAAACATACACGGTTGAATAGCTGGGAGTCCTAGTAGCACGATTCAGTTTAGTGGTAACTACATAATGAATATAGCGCAATCAGATCAACGGAGTCTTCCTGGACTGCGACAGCAGTTACTGTACGATTCGCCCTTATCAGCAGCGCCACGCTAGTGGCCAGAATTTTTCGATTTCAATCGCTGGTGACAACTTGAACGATTTCTTCGCATCGACTTGCTGACTGATCATCATAAGGCACTTGGGGCTGGATGAGGCAAGGTTCCAGTACATCGCTTGGTCCACTTCATCATGTTAGCCAAAAACATTATTAACCAATTTAGGAAGAGTTCAAGCATTTTTTGAGCCAAATGACAATCACTACTATCTATACAGGCCTCGTTGCAACTCCAAATGAACCGGTGGTTAAGATGAGTGACCGAACTACCTGTCAAGTAGCTCTGATTTTGCTGGAGAACAATGCTTCTTACAGAATATATGGATAATTTTTGAGCAGTCTTGTATGTACGTGATAAAGAATACCTGATTTTATGTCTAGTGTTCAGAACATGATTCTGTTTCAGAGACTGAGACTGAGACTGTATTTAAGAGCAAGTAGAAAGATTTCTGTACAACTCTATCGGATTACGAAAAATCAAAATTTACTTGTGAATTATCAGCAGTTGTGTCTGGTCCGTTAATCGTTTACCCGTGTTCGGTTAGGAATTTGTACTAGCGTCATTATTTCCGGACATACAATGTCTTCTTTTGGCACTGTATGTGCATCGTTTCACAAAAGCACAGGTTTCCAAAATAATCGTCGATGCGGGTTTTAAAACACTTCACAGAATCGGCCTCTATTAATCCTTCTGGTAGTGTATTCCATAAGTTTACGATTCTTCGTTCGATACAAAGCTGATGTGATACTTTGTTCATGCTGCGGACCCTGAGTTTGTAACGATGTCCTCGGGTGTTACAGGGTTCTCGCAGGTGAAATATTGGCCGCAGTATGGGGAAGTGATTCAAGTGTAGTACTCGATGGGTCATAATAAGATCAATTCTTACTAGGCGATAAGATAGTGTGTAGAGTCCGAGCCCTTCACAACGTTTTTCATACGGAAGCTTTCGTAGACTTGGTATCATTCTAGTTGCGATATGCTGTATTTTCTCCAGTTTTTCAGTTTCCCATTGGGTTATCGGATGGTAAGCTGGGGCACCGTATTCAAGGATTGGTCTAATGAGCGAGGTGAATAGACGAGGGACGGTTTCTTCGGACCATGTGGAGAAACTGCGTCTTAATGCCCAGAGCATACGAAGTCCCGCACGGTACAATTTCTCTGTATTTTCTAGTGATCTTAAATCATGTCGTGAGAGAACTCCTAAGTCTCTGACAGATGTGTTGGGATGAAGCAACTGGCCGTCCAAGGTGTATGACCGAGTGGCTGGACGTCTGGTGATACTGATGAACTCCGACTTGCTTGCGTTAAGAGGGAGTTGCATTTCAGTGGACCACGTTGACAGTCCCTTGACAATTAGCATTGGCAGTTTCTACTTAAATGTCTGCTGTAGACTTGGACAAATTTCTCTGGGTACCTGTTGCGCAGTAAATTCTGGTGTAAAAATTCTTCAGACTTTAACATCATTGAGTTATGAATTCTCCTACCCCTATAGAACAGCTTCTTCACGACGTCACATCTGCATGCTTTGGAGACAAAGCTGGAAATGTGAAGGCATTGCCTTCCCCAAGTTCCTTTGCGCCGAAGTGCGCCATCAGCTTTTCTCCACATGCACACATTCAAGAAAAGGAAGCTATTTCGCTCTTCTACCTCATGTGGTACAATGGGGTTAGGGTGAATAGAATTCAGCAGGCTGATTAGGAGTTTGAAAGCTTGTTCATTGGTGAAGATCAGTATGTCATCAATGTACTGTTTATACAGTTTTGTGTCACAGATGCTGTCAACAACCTTCCTCGTAATCACACCAACGAAGATATCCAAAATGCCTCCAGTGCAACCCAGTCGATCTGCTTGTATGTCTTCCCTTCGGCTTCCAAACGTACATTATCAAGTCCCACAGGTACTCGAGTGGAGGTCGCACACAGATAGATTTCGCTTCAAGCTGACGTAAATCATCAAAACCGTTTCATGGAGTTGCGTGTACATTTGTGAAAAGCCTCAACATCATTTTAGCACACATGCACTTCATATCCAGAGTTGATTGTTCCAACACTGCGACTAACTCAAAGGAGTATTTTATACAGTATGTAGCCAAGAGATAGAAACGTGTTCTAAGCAATTTACTAACTACCGAGAAACCATGTGATATGGTGACTTGTTCTTGTGAATTACCTGTTTTTTCGACTTGGATGGGCCTCCCATCCTTGGTGTGTCTTTGCCTGTCTATTTCATCCGCCGATCTGAATATCTCTGTGGAGCAAAAGTATCTAGTTGTCTTGCGATTTGACTTTCCACTAAGAAATGGTTGTCTTTTGCTCCATCAGTCTAAAACTTGCGTCCACCTCCGGGAATGGTTCTCCTTTTACAACATATTTCCACTTATTCATGGAAACAACGTTTGTTCTTTTAAGACCAAGTGTCTCACCGCTCAACTCCCTGATCACAGTGTGTTGTTCTGCTTTCAAAGAACAGTTCTGAATTATCAGGGGATTCGGCAACTGATTCCAGATATCCAATAATTTCGTATGAAACGAAGTACGATACTCGACGAAGCACTCGATAAACATGCACTTCGAGATTGACCCAGTTTATGAAACGCTAAGGCGGAGAGAATTAAAACAACTTAACAACGGTATTGAGCTGTTAAACGTGCCGTCAATAACACAGCGGCATCAGCCGAGGCAAAACCATCCCACGCATCGCCCGTGTCTCTCAAAGAAGTTGGGCAGGCGTTTGCTCACAGGGCACAGATCGAGGAGGTCAATTCAAAAGTCACTTGTTTATCAAACACAAATCGACGAAAAGTCAGCGGATTACGTTTGACCCAGCAGCGCACTGAGAAAGGCACCTCGTGCGGTGATGTAAATTACGCATACCAACTGCAAAGCTAGGCGAACAGTCGAAACCAAGATGGTATGAAACCTGTATCATCCGTTGATCTCATGAGAGTTCAATGAGTTAATCATACAGACATTTAAGGTTAGATTCAACAGTCAGTTAAGCGAGCAAGCTTACTTTCGGTGGCCCTAATCAGGCTTGTAAAACGCAACACATAGTTAGGAATAAATCTAACCGCATACTAACTCTAGGAGTGTGTCCATCTACACCGCATCATCAGTATTCTAACTGACCAGTTCAAACATCTATTACTGATTTGCACCACGGACATACAGTTCCATTTAAACGGGACAGACAGCTATCAGGTAGACGGGGTCTCACTTTTTGGGCTGCAGACATATTTATGAGTAAACTGGAGGACAATCAGCTATTTGAATCTACTAACAAGGTTGTGAACTATAGCTGTCATGTGAGAGACATTTCGTATCGCGGATGGCAGAGTGTGTATTGAAGCTCTACTATACCAGTTCAGCTCTGGTCAAAACAACGCAGCGTTTCTCATCGAACTGGAATGCGGGTATTCCATGGCATTCTTAGATGTTCTGATCACTAAGACATGGAGGGGTCAGTGCAGAGAAGAATGCACGGGCAGTGATAACCTTACCGCAACTTACGTGATCGCATAACCATAAGTATAAGACTATTCTTCTCGTTGATTTATTGCGTTTAAATACCCTGTGTTTGTTTTATTCCTGGTTATATTTTATAGCGGATATGTCTGATGCCAGCCATCGAAAACATGCTTACTCGCTTAGCCCGGGATTATGTTCTCAGTATACAAAGCTAATCTATGTGCTGAGCTTGTCCAAATTCTTCGGAGTCAGGCCGCTTCTCGCCACAGTACTTCCAACGGTTCTCGAGTGAACACAGTTGATGGAAGGTTTTACCTTACAGAGTCACAGTGGAGAAGCAAGCAGCGGCTGTTCTTAAAAGGTAGCCTTGTAAGCTTCTACCCTCTTGACTTTTGTGCAACTCCGTTTCAACTGAAACTCTTCAAGTTTGAACCAGCATCTCAGGGACAAACCACTCAGCGTGTTCACGAACCACTTTTCCGTCTCGATCACGGCCGAACGTACACAGTGGCTGGTCAACCGTTGCATCCCGCTCCTTTCGTGCGCGACCTCGGTGTACTCTCACGCTGCGACCTAAAGTCCATTGACAACACAAATAGGCTGTACCAAAACAGCCTTCGTATGCTTTGGGCTCTCAGGCGCAGCTTTAGCACTTGGTCCGAAGAGATTGCTTCTCGCCTCTTCGTCTCGATAATACGACCAATGCTGGAGTATGGCACTCCAGCATACTGTCCCATCACCCGGGGCGAAGTAGAAAAGCTTGAGCGGGTGCAGCATGTAGCCACCAGGCTGATTCCCAACTTACGAGGTATGTCATACGAAGACCGATGTAAGAAACTAGGGTTATACACCCTATCTTATCGTCGGCTGAGAGTTGACCTC